TATATATATATATATATATATATACTCCGTTTAGTAACTTATGTTCTACATCAAATTTTAACGATCCAACCGTTGAATTTAAAGTACTTAATTCATAGATTAAATCTGTAAATTTTAAAAAAAATTGAAAATTATTTGATACTTCATTTCATTAATTCAAATTGACGGATAATCCTAAAATCAATTTATATATTGATTTGAATTAATGGAACGAAGTATCAAATGATTTTCAAATTTTTTAAAAATTTGCAAATTTGATATATTCATTAAGAACTTTAAATTTAACGGTTGGATCATTGAAATTTGTTATAAAACATGAGTTATTGAAAGAAGTGCTCCTAGATTGATGATGATTGTGTGTGCAAACTGTGACTTTTTATTTACCATAAATCATAATTTTTTTTGTTGTTGAGTAGATATATGAATAGCATGAATTATTTAGTTTCTATTATAATATTTAAAATAGCGTTTATCCCACTTTGCACTATTCTTCCATAGTGTTTTCAAAGTAGGTCACTATTTGAGACTCATAACTATGGTTTGTGTTTCTTTTCATGATCTAATGTTTGCATAATAAGGAGAAAATTAAGGGAGGAAAAGCATTTTTGAGATTTATGAAAACCTAACCTAGGCAGTGTTAAGTTGGTACGTTCCATGGCATTTATAGTGTTTTGTTTGGTCATCAAATACTGCCCTAATTCCGGTGTAGGTTTTGGTGCTGTCCAGATTTTATTTTATACCACTCCCATGAATAGATGTTTTGAAGTGGAATGCTAAAGATATTTAATACCATATGTTTGTGTTTCTTTTCATGATCAAATTTCTGCATAAGAAAGGATAAAATTAAAAGTGGAAAAATATTTTTAAAGATTTATGAAAACCTAACCTAGGTGGTGTTAAGTTAGTATGGCCGTATAGGTGTATGCATAGCAGGAGCTTCCTCGATCACTTCTGCAATTTTTTATCCTATCTGGTTGACAAAACTTACGTATTGCCTGTTAGAGTTGTGTTATATCTGCATTGCTTCACATCAATGCTCTGTGTGTTCTTTTTAAATTTTTTGTCATTCAATTATGACGCCATGATCATGGGTATGCTTATGTTTGAACATGATTTAGTGTCCTATATGGGTTTTTAAACATTAACATGTTTGTCTTTGCTTAGAGAACATAATTTTCTTTTCTAGTATATAAGAGTGAGGCTTTCTAATCTATGTGCTTGCATCAATGAAATAAACACTATTCAATTATTTATCCATTGGGTGTTGTAGCTTAACATTCTAGTTGAAATTCTTTGTTAAAGATAATTTGGTTTTCGTCATTAATTCATGGTCTGTCATGTGATGAGCCAACACGAATCTGTTTCCTTTGCTGCCTACTCATCTAGTGTGATTGGATAGATTATTCTCTCCATCCACGTAGTTAATAATTTTACATTAAATTTTTTCCCAACAAACCTTAATGTTGCCTCATGAGTAGTCCCTACATTCTACTCACATTGGCAGTAGCCTCACTACTGGGTTACCCTTTGTTCAAAATAACACCTGCCTCATACCTATCTGCCATTCTGTGATGACTTTTGTGGCTTTCCGGCTGAGATATGCCATTGAAATTTGAAAACAATATCTATTACTTTGACGAATTGAAATTCTAATAAGGTGGCAACTTTTGATTTGACACAATAACCTGACATGTCTGAAGCATGGAATCAAAGCAAATTGTGTGTTAACAGGTCCTTAGTTGTAGAAGTATAAATAAAATATTATTATACCCCATTCAGCACATTATTTTTTCATGCAACCTTTATCTTTCTCGAAATTTTTTTTTTCTCTCCACGTAATAATGATGGAAAATCTAGACTCTAGACTAAACCTGGCAACCACCATCATCTGGACTCTGCGAATGCATCTCTCCATTTTTCTCTTCACTTTGTGTTTTGAGTTGTCTAGGCTCATAATGACACATTGATATGATGTATGGTATAATTTGAACTTCATTGAGAAAAATTCAAGTCCCACGTTGACTAGAGATAAAGTTAAAACAAAGTATATAACTAGGGCTAACCCTCACATTTCAAAATGGTTTGTAAGGTTGAGTTAGACCCATAATTCACTTTCTTAAGATGTTATCAAAGTTATTTTAGATCTATTAAAAAGGGTTACCCACCATTTATACACATATCAAGCCTAATAGTATTGGGCATGAGGGAGTGTATTGAGAAAAATTCAAATTTTGTCTATCTTAGATCATTTAAAAAAATTCATCCACCATCTATTCATGCATTAAGTCTAATAGTGTTGTTGGGCATGAAATGTATTGGAAAAAATCCAAGTCGTACATCAATTAGAGATAAAGTCAAAACAAAGTATACAAGTGGAGATAATCTTCATCTTGAACTAGGGTCCATATTGTTTGGTGATCAGATTTTTGTGGATATCTGCAAGACCCTTGGAAAAGAAGCTAGATTGGGCTAGACCCATCTCGTCCCCGTACCCATACTTGTCGGGTGTATGATTTTTATCCCTGTCTCTGTTGGGTATCGGGTATACCCGTACCCGTACCCGTCAATTTTTATTTTTTATTTTTTTATAAAAAAATATGATATTTTTAAATTATTTTTTTATTATATTATAATTATAATTAGGTTATTTCTCTATCTCATATTATAATAAATAATTACACATAAAAAAATATTAAAATTCTTTAATATAATTAAATTAAAAGTGGTTATTAAATTAAAAATAGGAACGGGGATGGGTACAGGTACGAGGCGGTTAAGTACATATCCGTACCCGGTCAAACCGGGTATTCTCCGTCAAAGTCGGGACGGGTTCGGGTATTACCTGCAAGTACAGGTATATTTGTCATCCCTATTCTCAACAAGTGTTTATAAGAGAAAAAATTAAGATGAGTTTTTGTGTGCTGAATCATTGCATAACATGAGTTTAAGATTTTTTTTTATCTATAACAAAAAAAATCAATAATTTCTCATTGTTTGAATAGATATCATGGTCAACAAAAATCACTTGGTGATCATTCTCTAATCATAATGAGTTTCACAAAGTCAATTTTGAAGCACAAAAATATTGGGATTATTCACTATTTTTAATCTAAAAAAAGTATGATAATTATATTAATTAGAAAATTTTATTTTCTTAGATTTTATCTACAATAAAATATACTTTAGAAAATTAATATTTTATTATGTGTCTAATTAGAATCTGACCAAGACTTCATTATGAGTTATAAATACTCTTTAAATGCCTTATATTATTCACATTATTGATTAATTAGTAGGAAAAAAACATTTCTTGTCTTTGCTTGAATAGTTTAGTGAGATAGTGTGCGATTATTGTTATTCAATAATAGTTTTTAGAATAAAACTTCAGCATCAAAAGACCTTTGGGACTTTTATTAATTATTATCATGCATTGTTTTATTTTCATTAAAAGGTTAAAGTTATATAACAAAAAAAAAAGAAAAAGAATAACATGTATGTGAAAAATGGGGATTCCCTTTATATATAGGTATAAATAATGGTGAGGGACTTGCCTTTCATGGGTTGGAATAAGGTTAGTGTCAATTATGGGTTGATAAATTTAGAACATGCTTGGATACAAGTTTATAAGGATTTTTAAGAGCTTCTCTACTAGAAAGTACTCATTATTTTTAGTAGAAAAGCTTTCAAAAGTCCTTATAGATTGTATCCAAATAAGCTCATAGTCATGTTGTGCGCGATGGTGTTATAAGGGATTTTGGAGAGAAAAGAGTCACTAGAAGGGGGGTTGTATAGTATCAATTGGAAACTCAAGACATTTTTTGAAACAATGAAGTAGTATAAAGACTTTAAAGGTGTAGATGAAGAGTAAAAAGTAAAAAACACACAGTATTTTTATATTGTTTTGTCTCAACTACCGAGACTACTTGTAGTTCTTGATCAACCTAATCAAGTTTCACTATCTTTACAAAGATACAAGTATTTTTTTACAAGTCACTTCTGGTTCAACCTAAGTATTCTTTGACTTGCTTATTTAAGTAACTATCCAAGTTCTTTTTGAACAACAAAGTCTCCCTATACTTCAACAACTAAGTATTCTTTATAACAGAGTCTTTTCAGGCTTCAACAACCAAATATTCTTTACAACAACCTTTTTAGGCTTTACGCTATAATATAAAGTTAAAGTTGGGAAATCACTTATTATTTCATCTTACTCACAAGACATGATGCAACCAATTTAAGTATAGAGTTTTTATAGAAAGAATGAAATGCAGTTATTTTACAATAGTTCTTCTTCTTCTTTCTTTATAAGCCTTCAAGCTTCTTTATATAAGTATTTCACGAAGATGACTATTGCAAATCCTTGAGTTTTTCTCACATTCTTTCTTTGTCTTCGTTCTTTGTAGATAAAAGTGTTCGTTGGTGCGTTAAATATGAGCATTAAATGCATTTCACTAAATTGTCACTTAACTGATCAAGAAAGCTACTTATCACGTTTAAGGTGCAAAACTAGATGAATTGTTGTGTGTGTAGTTGAAAATGACTTTATAATATATATTAAACTTTATTTTTATTTAATTTAATATAAAGTAATTAAAAATTTTATCTTCCTCTCTGTTCTCTCTACCTATACAATTTCTCAAAGCTTATTCCTGAACAAACACCTAGACTTCATTGCTGTCTTGTTCCCTCCACGTTTTTTTTTATTTTTTTCTTTCTTTCTATCGTGCGATCGCATAGTTATATACTACTTGATTGGTTCTTTCACTCTTTGCCAGAATGGAGGGAAGCATTAGGGGAAGAACGCAGGTTCGTGAAATAATACTGTTATGCATCACGCGAGCTCTTATTATGTTGATATTTGTTTATTCCCCTACTTTTATTTTTCATGTTATTTTTTATTTATTTATCTCTCCTTTTTCTTTATTATTGCATTTTGTGCAATTTTAATTGATGGTAGTTTTGTTGTTGTTGTTGGTTGCAAGGTTGAACTAAGAGGTAGGAAATTGGAGCATGAGGATGGAGAAGCAGTAATAATTGGAGGTATGGTGTTGGACATTCATGCTACACCTTCAATGCGAGCAAATCCTGGAACCACTACCCCTGGCAAGGTTAGTAATAATACTAATCTATCTATATTCTATCAGAGAAACAAGAAAAGAAACCTACTTGGCACATCTTTATTTGTATGTATGCATTTATATTATTCTGTCATTTTTTTTTTGCTTTTCTGGGACTGTAATTTATTTATGCTTAGTTACTGTGATGTATCTGTAAATATAAAGTTGAAAATTGAAACCCCTTCAATAGAAGGGCTCAAGAGAACTACATACAACCCATGGTTCACTAGTCACTAGCAAATCTCAAGTTGATTACATTGATTAAGCAAAGATGATGCAGAATTGCATCAAAATCAATTCTAAAAGAGAGGATGATGCCTGCACAATTTTTTTTTCCAAGGGTCTGACACTTCTGAAATTTGGAAGTTTTTGAGCTCTTTTTAATCCAAGTTGAGAAAGATGGGAAAGACTGAACCCAAAACTCTGGTTAAGAGAAACCATGTTTCTTGCCCTTCAGACCAGCAGGCATTGGTTAGCTCAATTTTTTTAATGATGTGAAAAGCATAAGCAGTCATTGACCTGATTGAAAATTTTAATCATTCTTTTTTCTTACTCGTGTTTGTACCTATCTTCTTATATTGGAGAATTGTCAGGTCTATTATGTCCAAGGAGGTGTGGCAAGGAATATAGCAGAGTGTATGTCAAAACTAGGAGCTAAGCCATACATGATTAGTGCTCTTGGGTTTGACATGGCCGGTAAATTCTTACTGTCACAAGTTATTTTCTCTTGCAATGTTGTCATAATTTTTTACTTTGAGCATTTATTATGGTCAAGGGGTACCCTTTATGGCAACTTGAACTTATTTCTGTTGAAATTTGTCAGTTGTTCATCGTGGAGACATTTCTCTGATTTATTTATCTAAATTTGTGTATATTTCTGTCCTAATTAGACTTAAGCACAAAAGTAGTATTGATTTTCTTTAATTAACTCCAGTAATGTTCTAGATTTGACTGGAGCCCTTGGTGGCTTAATTAATAATATCTGATGCTTTGATTGACCTTTTAGACTACCTTTAATTACTTAGATCCCTGATTACAAATTAGACTTTCTTCACTTAATTAACTAGTTAAATACATAGAAAATTACCATTGAGTGACTGAAAACATCTAATAATCAAAATATTAAGAAAATAGTTTTCATTCTGTATCACATACCCATGACATGGACAGGTAAAATGATAATTGAGAAACCAATATATGCTTCATTATTATCTTTATTCTTCACTTATTCCAATAAATAACAAATTATAAAGTATCCCAAATCTATAATATTCTGAATAATATATCCTTCTAAGGATGTAAACTGATAAACATGTCATGCCAATCAATTAAGAATCTTCTATGATTGATTCTTAGTTAATAATTTGTGTGTGTATCAGAAGACACTATGATGAGACTGGCATCTGGAGAATAAATCTAGAGAAGAAACTTACAAAATTCTTCCTTTATTCTCTTTATTTTCTAGGAGATTTGCTGTTGAAGCAGTGGAAATCTGCTGGCCTAACCACAGAAGGTAAGCTATTTTGTCTTTGCAGCTTTTATCATAAGAGCTGTCATAACAATCTAAAATAATGTTTTTTGTACATTATTGAATTTGATGTAGGTATTTTGAAGCATAAAGATATTGAGACTCCAGTTGTATGCAATATATTTGATGTTAATGGTGAGGTAGCAGCTGGTGTTGCTAGTGTGGAAGCTCTTGTAAGTTGATCATTCAAGTATTAAGCTATCAAGTAATCTCCAAACTTAAGCAAGCTAAAAGATGTATTTTGCAACCTTACATATATTTATATAATGACAGTCGTTATGAAAGACCAAAGCTAGTAAAAAGAAAATATAATACAATCATGTTGTTGCAGGAAAAATATTTGACACCTGACTGGATCTTGCACTTCCAAAGCATTCTGCTTTCTGCTCCAGTGTTAATGGTTGATGCAAATCTGAGTCATCCTTCTCTTATAGCTGCTTGTAGAAGTACTTTGCATGCTAATATTTTGATTTTCTTTTTCCCTCTCTCTGTTAGATTATGAACTCACTACAAATGTTGTTTCTTCCCTTTGCATAAATATTTTCATTCCTTAGTGGCGGCTGACATGGAGTGTCCTGTATGGTTTGAGCCAGTATCAGTTACTAAATCTCGAAGAATTAGTTCTATTGCCGAGTATGTGAGTGCTATGCTTTACACAAACATGATATTCTTTATTAGATCTATTTCATGGTTGGTCAAAGGTGTTTGAGAGCAACTGGGGATTGCAATAGTCTGAAATAGTTGTTGACAAAGAGAGAGAATGAGAGACATAATATGAATTCCATGTGTCTAATTTACACAGTGGAGGCTCTTGTTTATAACATAAATCATAAATGCAATGGATAATGGTTTCCTTAATTTATATATACATACAGCTCACAATGTCTCATAATATCCCTAATTACAATATTTACATAATCTCTTAACAGTTGTTGACAATTTGTTTGGTATAACTGTGTCAGCAACTTTCCTTTCATTGTCTGGAACTCTTATTCATTATCTTCTTAATAATGTCGTTATTATATGTATAAAGTTAAACCTCTGCTAGCATCACTAATTTTTTAAAAATATATTACATTGTGCAATGTGCATATGATACTCATTAAATTTATCAACATCATAGGATACCATTCATACATTTTGTATCAAAATTGTTTTCTATGACGCTGCATACTTTGTTTAGGTAACTTTTGCTTCTCCAAATGAAGATGAACTTATTGCAATGGCAAATGCTTTATCTGGAAGTGATGTGTTTCATCCACTTAAAGAAAATCATAAGAAAAATATTTCAGTAATATCTTTGTTTCAAATGCTGAAACCAGCAATATGGGTTTTGCTAGAAAAAGGCATTAGAGTGGTCCTAGTGACCTTGGGCTCCAATGGAGTGTTTTTATGCAAGAAAGGAGGGCCTAGCCACTTTAAAATGCCTACAGAGAAAACAAATCGTTGTGGCTTTGATGGACAATTATACAGGACTATTATGGAAAAATGTCCACCTAGTCGTTATTCTGGTTTTTCAGAACTTGATAGAAGCTCTCTTCTCTTTGCTGTGCATTTTCCCACACTTCCTGCATCAGTTGTGAGGCTTACTGGCGCTGGTGATTGCTTAGTTGGTGGAACACTCACATCAATTTGTGTAGGATTAGATATTATGCAAAGTGTATCTGTTGGCATTGCAGTGGCTAAAGCTGCAGTTGAGGTTGAGGCTAATGTCCCATCTACTTTCAGTTTATCTGCTATCGCAGGTAAAGTTTTAGCTTTGCATTTAGTTATAGCCATGGTCATAATATGCTTCTGTAGTTGCTTCTTTTGTTGCATGTTTGAAGCTTACTGAACTGATTAGCATCCCTATTAACAACTAATTACTTTTTCTTACTTTCCATTGTTTTTATGATTGGAGATTTTGGCAGCCTGCATGTGGACTTGAATCAGTGTTTGAGAAATGAAAAATTGATATGAAACCTATCAAGTATTTATTTGAATTCTCATGCAAATTGCAAAAGTATGAATATTATGAAGTCTACGATGTTGCCATGTCTACCAAAGACTAACTTATTGATAACAAAGAATCACATGAATAGTGATATATATTATTGAGATCTGTCAGGAGAGTTAGTTCATGTTTGGAAGATATTAATTTCTCAGAAATAATCGCTTATTTTTTAAAAGGCTCTCTCAGGAGCTTACAAAAAACAGTTATTTCTCTAGAACAAGAACCAAACATGCACTTACATTAGAACTGCTAATAAACCAAGCATGTGGGAATACCCCACGGTCTAACCAAAAGGAAAAGAGTTTGATAAGGCAAAGTCCTATGTTGCACATATAGTGTATCCTCTTCAGTTATGAATTAATTTTGTAGCAAGGTTTCGTTTATTGATAGTTGAGTGCTTTACTGCTTCTACAACCATGATGATGCCATATGACCTTGTGTTTTCCCGTCTTTCTTGTGCAGATGATGTTAAATCTGTATACTCTGGTGCCAAAGTTCTCTTCCACCAGTCGATGTTATAAATTTTGAATGAGTATGGTGGTAGATAACTAGCTTGAGTTGTGATATAACAACCTCCTTTGACCAAAGAAAAATGGTAACATCATCATAAGGCTTATGGCATTGAAAAATGAATTAATAACTATTTTTGGAGTTTTTATTATGTTTTCACTTTTCACATTTGCATATAATTGTTATACTTTTTTCTTTAACATTGGTATACGCTTCTGCACTTAGATGTTAAACTTGATCATGTCATGATTTTTGTCTTTGTATTGAATCGTTTGTTTCCCTAAAATTTATATATTTACACCACTTTCGCGAAATCACTGAAGTAAATAAATGAAAGCATATTACTTTCATAACCGCAAAGTAAAGGGCTAGTTGCATGGCGAACAGCAGGGTATTATAGTACTTTTGCTCATTCTTGCATTGGAAAATAAAATAAAATTATCCGTAATCTGCCTTATACTCGGGAAGTTAGCAATGCTAATTCTTATCTATGTACTCGTTTGTTAACTATATACCTAAACCTGGACGTATAGGGCCATGACGAAAATTTCCAAGGTTGTAAGGAAAAAATTATTTTCAATATCTAGTATTTTAGTGCAGATATTTAGTTTAATATAAACACCAAATCTTATTTTATTTTTTATCAACTGCTAAATAATTGATCAATGCTTATATATTTCTAACATTTCACTATCAATAAATAAAGAAATATATATATATATATATATAAGATAAATTCATTTAATCTATTTTGACATAGTTAATATCATATAAAATTTGAATAATTTTAATTCTAATAGAACTACATTGAACGATGATAATATTTACAAATATTGTCAAATATATGTTAAAAGCAATGTATTTAAAAAATACAATCTTTTGATATAATTTATTATTTTTAGTGGAATATGTTTTTAAAAACTTAATTTATATATATTGTCGGAGCTTCTTTATACATCTAATAAAATGTGATTATTTCATTACATCATCTTGTTCAATAAAATGATGTTGCAATATAGTGAACTTTTATTGGATATATGTGTAAAAACATTTCACACTAATAATTTATATATGTAAAGAAAATACATTTATTTGATTTCTATATTTTTTAAAAACTTATATTTTTTTATTATATTTTTTTCCCATCATATCTTTTAAGGATAAAATAAAAGAAGAGAAATATGCATAAAAAATTAATTATTCACTCTATCAATAATCCTATTTTATGATTATTTTTGGCCTTCATTTTTCTTTAAACTTATTTTATTCTTTTCTAATTATATATTATTTCACTTGATTTACAATTTGTAATTTCTATTATTTTTTATTTTATATTATTTTTAAACAAAATATATTGAGACACAAAATGCTTTGGCATTACTAATCTATATAAAAAAAAATTTACCTTTTGTTTGTACATTAACCAATATTTTTATTTTTGAATATAAATTAAGATATCTAATATTACAATAATTACTAAATTTATTATTTAAATATATATATATGGAGAAATTCACTTCAAAATGAAATTTTTGTACACTTACTTCACTCAATAACTCACGATTTACATTATATTTTAATAATCTAACTGATTAAATTAATAATTTTTAATTTATAGACCAAGTCTACAAATTTTTACAAAGTTTAAAAATTATATGATATTTTATTTTATTAATTCAAATTAACAGATATTCATAAAAATATGTTAATTTGAATTTATAACTGTTAATTTGAATTAATATAATGAAATATCAAATAGTTTCAAATTTTGGTAAAATCCTAGGTGGTTACCTTTCAACGGATAAGGAATTATCATCCCACCAATTACCTCTTAAGTTTCGGGATCACTGTAAATCAAATATCTTTATCTTTACCAAATTGATAAGAAAATCTTTCCATTAATTAGGTAATTGTTGATTCAAGTTGGTCTTCTATCACCCACAATGGGATCCCAAGTCATTGCAATGAGCCAAAGTCCTAGGTGGTTACCTCTCGATGGTAAACAAATTATCCTCCCACAGATTATCTCCTAATGTATGAGATCATTTTAAATCAAATATCTTATCTTTGCAAATTGATAAGAAAATCTCTCCATTAATTAGGCAACTATTAGTTCGATTTGGTCCTCTCTTGCCCATAATGAGACCCTAAGCCATTGCAACGAGGAAAAACCCTACCTAGGACTCATCTCGCTCAATTTGGGCATAGGATTGGTGGTACTGGGCATGAAATGAGAGACTCGTCTCTACCTGGATTCACATTGGGCACTAAAGTGTGTGGCATCGTGCATGAGTCTGGTTGATAGCTTTTTGCATGATAAGGGTTGGGCAAGGGTGTTGCCACGCTAGGCACGAGAATGTGGGACACTCTCCATGTCAATCACACTGAATGTGAGTGATACAACGCCAAACATGGGTGAGAGAGAGATCTCCTTATCTCAATGGCATCGAGTGCCTAGTGAGTGACGTCGGGCACAAATTGCATGATGAAAAGTTTTTCTTAAAGTTGTTTTTACAGTTGAGTGATGGTGAATAAGTTGTATAAGTGATGTTGTAAGATGATATATCTTAATATGCAATAAGTTGAACATGTTGCAAACTGAGTTGTTTAAGTTGTTTAAACCAATGTAGTTGTCATTCTATCAAAGTTACTCTTGTTATAAAGATGTATGATGGTATATTGTGGATGGTTAAATGTAAGTTGGATGATGTTTAAGTTATAATGATGAGTGAAGTTTAACTTGTTCAAACTGATAAGTTGTATGTTTTTAAACTTGTTAAGTTGAATGTTGCTAAAGTTGTTAAATTGTTAAGTTATAGATATGTGCGTTAGATACATGTATTAGCTATGATACATAAAAATTGGAGGGGAATAAAGTTATTTTTGAAAGTTGAATATCTCATTGTATGGATATGCATTGCGATGTTTTGAGAGCCCGATTGAAACCCTTTAATAGGTAAGTTGGCCTTTGGATGGGTAAGTTATTTTTAAGTTGTCCCCATTAGGTTTTTATGTGGTATCTATGTTTGGGTAAGGTTGAGGTACATGTGTATAAAGCCACAAACTGCGTAAAGTACCAGGTTTGGTACTTAGTCTCCAACCTACTATCAGAAGGTTGTGGTATTTGGAGGGTAGTGTGTGGATTAATCTCATAGGTGGCTTAGTGTTGCAGGCTAATCTTGTGGTAGGTTCATACCCAAATTGCTCTACCTTGACATAGTACCATACTTCCAAGCTTAAGTGGTGAAACCTGATAAATTAATCTAGCTTATGCTAGTTGTTGTTTATATCCTTGTGCTAATTGTTGTTTTTTAGCTTTAGTTCCAGTCGTTGCTTCTGGTTTTATACTAGTCATTATGGTTTAGTAGGATCTAGCCTCTTAAAATGTTTATCCTATGTTGTAGGAGATCTCTATAGCTAATATGTGTAACCACGCATTAGATGTAATTATTTGTGCTAAAATGTTGAACATGCTGAAGTTGATTAAGTGTTGTGCTAAAATTTATGGTTATGTTGTGAGTTGTTGTATTTTGATATGATGGTGTTGTTGATTATGTTGTAGTAGCTGAAAGGTGCTTAATGTTGGATTCTTTTCACAAGCTTACCTTGTGTCTTCCTTGTGGTTGGAATTGTGATAATCATACTTAGTATGGGAGTAGGACAGAATTAGCAAGATGACTTATACAGTTAGAGAATAGTCATGTTGGAGGTGACTAGATTTTTGTTGATGGTTACTTTGATGTAGTCATGTATTGTATAGATGTCGACCAATGTTTAGGTTTATTTTACTCTTAGTACCATATTTTGTATATAGCTTATATTTACATGATATTAGTTATTGACTATATGATAAACTCTATCTTCTAATGCATTTTGTTTAATCTTTCGTACTGAGATAATTGTTTAATATTAAATGTAGTGACTTATTAGATCGTTACAACCACTCACATTTTATACTTATTACTGTCTCTCATTTACTAATCTTATCATTTTGAATGAATTTGCTTTTACAATTTTGAGAAAAATATCACATGCTTTACGAAAGCAGAAAACTTTTTCAAATTGACCAATAAAACTTTTACCAACTAGTTATGAGTTTAATTTTTTTTATGTGTTTTTGCTACAATACTATTTATTTTAAAATTGTTGGCTTTTATAAACTATTCCTTTTTTTTAAAACATAACAATTATAAAAAAAATGTTAAACTTCTTAAAAAACAATGTATTAAACCACAAATAGTTAAAAATGATCATTATTTTAATTTTAAAATATTACATTATCCCACTACGATCTTCTTAATTTTTTTTTAAAAGAAACTACTATTATGTGATAATGTTAGTTTTTTTTTTCTTGAAATTTTTTTAAACTTTGCAAGACCATGTTTTTCATTTTAAAATTCTAAATTATCTCACTACCATCTTCTTGAGATTTTTTTATAAGAAACCATTATTATGTGATAATTGTATTTTCTTTAAAAAAATTTTTAGCAAAAGCTATTTTTTTTAAAATTTAAACTATTCTACTACAATCTTCTTGGATTTTTATTTTATTTTATTTTTAAAGAAACCAACATTATGTGATAACTTTTGCAACACTATACTTGTTAAGCTACCTTTTTTTTGTTGATTTAGTTTATGTTAAAGGACCCAAGGTGGGATAGGAAAATGCTAAAAAATCTTGTTTCCTCCTCCTAGTTTTGTAGAGTCACGGTTCCAAAGGTTGAGCATTTATTCAAGCTTTGGAGCTCATTTTGTTTCTTCGACCTTAGAGTTTTTGTCTTCTTTTTCTCTTAGATTTTTGAAAGCCTTAGAGTTGTGATTCTTGTAGCTAATGTTGATTCAGAGCCACTTGGAGCTGAGAATCACGTGGTATAGGTGTAGAACTTGTGTTGTTGGAGCTCAAAGTCCATTTCTTCCTTTTTCCTCTTCTTCTCATTTTGGCTCGAAGTCAAGGTAAGGGAAGCTAAACTCAACTTCTCATTGATCTATGTTGTGTATGTTGCTTGAAAATTTATCATTTTCATGGCTAAGGAGTTATGATATGGAAGATTGGACAATTTTGAGGTTTTTGGTGTTCTTGGTGAAAGATTGAGAATTTGACAATCTACATGATGTGTTGTTGATGCATGTTTCTTTTCATTCGATTTCTAAGTTGTATGTTGTTATAATTGGAAGATTTTGAGGTTGCATGCATGTATTATTGCATAAGTTGAGAGGAGTTTGGAGATTGGGTGGTGTTCCTAGCCGTTGGGATGTTCTTCAACTATGCAGAAGTTTATGGATTTATGAGGCTAAGCGTGAGAACTAAGATATGCCTTTGGAAAAGTGAGGCTAAGTGTGAGTTTTAACACTTAGCGTGAGGATTGGATGTGTCTCTAAAAGTTTGAGGTTAAGCATGAGTTTCACGCTTAATGCAAGAAATTTCAAAAATTTTATATGACTTTTTGGAAGCCTAATGCTTAGTGTGAGACTCCACGCTTAGCATGAAAACTTAGTCAAATAATTTTCTTCTGAAATTGAATTAGTTGGTTACTTGAGGAATAAGTTGTATGGACGATGTTGTATGATAATGAAATCTATATGTTGAACGTCGATATGTTGTATGCTAAAGATTATGTTGTGAGTTGCTAGTTGAGTTGAGTTGAGTTGTAGGTTATGTGGTTGTATAACTATGTTGAATATGTTATATGCATGACGTTGTTGTGTTATTGAGATGATGAATGCTTTACGCATTTAAGCATGTTTATTGTTGAGTTGTGATGACCAACCTAGGAGGACTAAAGGAGAGATTATTTTTAAAGTTGCATATCTCATTGTGTGGATATTGTGTTGTGGTGCTCTAAGAGCCTAATTTGTTAAAAATACTTTTTAAAAAGTTGACCCATGAAGAGGACAGTTGAGTCTCCTCTATAACTTTAGTTGGTATCATGTGCAGGAAATGGTCTAGGCACATGTCTATAAAACGACCATAGTATAGGGGCAAGGTCGAGCTATATTAATTACAAGTGGCCAATCGAGTAAAGCACAAAGTTGAGAACTTAATTTGTAATCGAGTATTGGAAGGGCATCGTATTTGGAAGGTAGCAGGTGGGCTAATTCTATTGGAGGCTTAGTTAAGATAGCTAATGTTGTGGTAGACTTATACCCAACTGTTCTACTCTAATAATAATACTAAACTTCCTTATTTAAGTGACGACATCCAAGATACCAAGTTGTTATGTTGTAGATTGATATCCAATTTGTTGTTGATCTAGTAAGTTGATAAAGATCACTCTGTATTGTTGGCTTGGTAAGGTCAAGCCATTGAAACTGTTCACCTTGTGTTATAGGAGATCTCCTAGTTGAAATGTGTAACGACGCATGTAGTTGTGTTATATATACAATGTTGTTGTGATGAAAAATTTGAGTTGTTAATGTATTGATGTTCAAGTTAATATTATATTGTAGTAGACTGAGTTGTTTATGTTGATATATGTTGTTGTATTGTGATACTATATGTTGATAGCGTTAAAGGTGCAACAAAGATGTGTTGATATATTAATGTTAATGATGTTTGGTGTTGTATACATGTTCCCTTTAAATTTCTAGTTTACTCTTGTGTGTTTCCATTTGGATGGACTGTGTTGATAATACTTGATATGGGAGCAATTTTGGAGGCTAGTTTGTGATTCGTGATGTTGATATTTTGTGCTACCTTGCAGTAACTAGTTGGTAGTATAAGTTGTATAATTTACTTTGTTTGGATTACTATATCTATATTGCATATATTTGTATAGTTTCACCTTTGTATGCAAGATATGTAATACACATTCACATATATGTAGATATACAATTTTGAGTTATTAGTTTTTTTTTTCATTGTTAGTTGTTTACCGTTAAGTGTAGTAGAAGTCATTGCAGGTCATTATAACTTTTATTTTAAAAAAAAAGAAAATTAAACCTAACAAGACCTTTTTTTATTCTAAAATTCTAAATTATCCCACCATGATATTTTTGTGTTTTTTTTAAGAATCATTAATATGTGTTAATAGTCATTTTTTTTAAAGCAAAACCTAGTATTTTAAAAATAAACTAATTTTATAAAATATTTTACATGTGTTTGATATTTTTAGTTGTTTGTTTGGATAAGTAGTTATCTTTTTTTTCATTGTTTGAAGGAAAAAATTGATAATATTTTTTTACAAAATATTGAAATCAACTCCGATATATTAAACTCGAATAATTATATCTTATATGAGAATATTTTTAAGAGTTATTTTTAGATGAGAGTATTTTGATGGATTTTTTTTTAACTTTCTATTTAATTCAATTTTTATTTATCATATTAATTGTGTTTTAAATTTTAATATTTTAAAAACAAATTATTAATAATTAAAAATATTTATTGTAATATAAATAATTTGTCCTAAATCTAACATACAATTTATACAAATTTTAAATATAATTTGTATATTCAAATATAATATTTATTTATCTATAATTTATTATAAATTTAATTATATATGATAAATATGTAGTCTATGAAATACATTTTAAAATACTACTTATATAATCTTGTGTTATAAAATTAATTATTTTATCATTATAAAAAAGAAGAAATGCACATTTTATAGAATAAATAATCTTGTGTTATAATATAAATAAATTATTTATTAAAAAAAATAAGATAATGAGTAGTTATTCAAATAGAGAGATTTGAAAATTGAATATCTTTGAAGTAAGAATAAATAAATAAATAAAAGATAATAAAAAAGAATGTAGTTTAGAGGTAATTATTGATCTAAATTAGTGTAAAATTTGTATACACCAAAAGAGAATATCTCTTTTATTAATACTAGTGAAAAATAAGGCACTTCATGCCTTAGTGACAACTTCTTTTAAACCATAATAACTTTTTTTAAATATATATGTTAGTAGGATAATATGTGATTATTGATAGTTTTAAAAAAAATACTCCTTTGTAAAAAATCCTTTCTATCTACTATCTAACAACTTATGTAATATTTATAAAGGGTTAAATTTGTTAGAAATAATGTATACACCAAAATAAGAATCAAATTTATATATGAGTATAGATTATAGATTATAGCTAAATTTAAAATACAATTTATATGTTTAAAACAAAAATTTATAAAAAGTTAAATATATTTCATATATTCAAATATAATAATTATTTATATTTATAATTTATTATAAGTTTTAGTTATATAGAATAGGTTAAAGTATTTTTTTAGTCTCTATAATTTAAGATAAACTTTTTTAATCCTTATAGTTTAAGATAGATTTTTTAGTCTCACATATACAATTTTTTAATCTTTTTAGTACCTATCATTTTTTAATATTTTTTTTTTGTGTTGACTTGACAAAAATATTAATTCAACTTTGTATATGTTAAATTTATTTTATTGGAATTACTTTAAATTAAATCTTAGACATTACGTACCTCTTTTTACCCTCATAACTATTGTTGAGAAACTTTTTTTATTCTTACAAAATTGAATACCTCTATCATGTCAACATAATATAGACATGTTATAAAAAAAAATAACAATAAGGACTAAAAGGATTAAAAACTTGCAAAGTGTAGAGACTAAAACATCTTTGTAATTTAAATTTAAAAACATAAATTCGTTTTTAGTTCCTTAATTTTAAAATTGATATTTTTAGTCTTTATAATTTCAAAAAATATTATTTTAGTCCTTATATTCAAATTTTGTTAGAGAATCTATTAAATATTATTACATAAAATCTAACTACTAATATACATTAAATATTTGTCACTTTGAGGTGTATTATTGGTAAGTTAAGAGACTAAAACATTTTTTTTAAAAATATTAAAAGGATTCGTTCCAAAAAAAAAAAAAAATTAAAAGAATGTGTATAATTAATGGGCTTTTAATTTTATTTGCATTATTGTAAGTAATAAAGAATTATATTTATGAGTACCTTTCCTAAGATAATTCTACCATTATTTGGTTAGGAAAAATAGTTCAACCTGTCATAAAAAACAATAGTAATTAACAAAGTGAATACTATTTTTTTTTATATCAAAATTATGATGACACTACTAGAATTTAAATTTCGAATTTTAAATATACTATTTCAACTTCCACAATAGAATAACTCTAGGATTTAATGATTAATGTTTGATAATTAATTCAATTTTTAAAATATAAACGAGATATAAAATGTGTACATAAATTATCTCTATATGCATGAGCATAATTTAGAAACCAATTTTTGAGTTAGTGGTCAAATAAATCCATTTTTTTTTTTTTTAATTTCTAACCTTAAAAGGAAAGTTTATAAAATTATAAATTATTTTTATTAAATCCTAAACCATTAAAATTAATTTAATGACAATAATAATTAATATATAAAGTAAATCAATTTTATCAGAGCAATCAAAGAAATTGTAACAAAATTTTTAAACCAACTCTTTTTAGAGTATTTGTATCAACTTTATATATATATAAAAGCATTTATAGAGTATAAAATAGAAAAAAAAATTATAAATTAAAATTAATTTATGTATTAGTTAATGTTTTGAGAAGTTAAAATGAATTTTTAACAATTAATTTATACATAAGCTAATTTTGTTTATAAACAAGTTAATTTTATAAGTATTTATTAAAAAAATAATTATCCTTTTTAGCTTCAAAAGTTTTGTAAACTGTATTCTTTAACTTCTACGGTTAAAAGCTCCTACTTTGATCTTTATAGCTTTTATATTATTTTTTATTCTTTATTATCTGTTGTTATGAAAAATAAAAGACAAGTTACATGAAATTATAAACACTACCAGGAGAAAAAACAATTCGTGCCTTTATTAAAAAAATAAAATAATATTTTCATAAAAAGTGAATAATTATTATTTTAAAGAATATAATTATTTATATATGTATATATATATTATTTTATCCTTAGATATAAATTAATAAAAAAATAATATTAAAAAAGTGGATAACGAAAAAATATATCTTGTAGATTAAAAATCTAAAAACAACTGTTTTTAACTATAAGATTTAAAAAATATTATGAAACCGTTACAAAAAATAAAAAAAAAAGTTTATCTGTTTAGACACCATACCCTATTTATTGTATGCCAAGGCCCAAACGAGAGCCTCGTGGCAGCTGGATACACATGCCACGTGGAATCGAAAATCCAAAAAAGCGCGACCCTTATATTTTCTTTTTTATTTTCATTTTTTATATTATCCCACTTAGATTTGCACGGTTCCTTCCCTCTATAAGAACGGTTCGTTGATGCGTCACGCACGACTGTGTTGTGTATTGCAAATGAGAAAGACCCGTCACATTACTCTCTTCACAATCGCGTCTCACTCCCAAACCCTCTTCGGTACGCTTCCACTTTTCCATTCTCACTCCGCATCGATCCTTTTCCGTTATCGCCTACATGCATTCTCTTCTCTCTATTCTTTGCGTTTTTAATCCCTTGTCATCGTCGCCGCTCTAACCACGCTTCGCTCCACGGTTTGCGGATTGTTCTTTTTGCGTTCTTTATCGTATTTATGGAATCTTTTCGGTGGTTCTTTGTTTCTATTCCGATCAAACTATGCAGTCGTTGTTTGTATTGTGAGACGGGATTAAATCTTTTTTGTTTCGAAAATTTAAATTAGAAAGAAAGATGAATAATATTTTAGGTTAGGTTTGTTTGGACTGGATTAATAAAACTGGACTGAAAAAGTGAAAAGTGAAAAGTGAAAAGTGAAAACCTATGTTATGCTGTGATGGTAGCGAATGTGCCTTGTTTTCCTTTTTTTAAGTGTTTCTCAATCAATTGCTTGATGGTTGTTTGGGATGAGGTTATTGTGTAATGTTGATTATGATTTTGTTTTTTTAACTATGGGATTTAACTTTTAGGGTTAGCATTTAAAGTTGCTGAATACTGATTGATGTTTGACAGTTGAAAGCTGTTTGTTTTGTTGTGTGACTATATTTACACAATGCAAATCGTGTTGTCTATTTTCTAATGTGACAGCGTAGTGTAGTAAATATATCGCCATGGGATTCAGTGATAAGCACAATAATGCTGATGGAAAAGACCCGGATTTTGGTGCAATCTTTATTTCGAATAGTGACACAAAGAGAGAAAGCTTCCGGAGGGGATTATTTGGCCTTCTGTCAACTGAAATCCAGTTTGTAGAGAAGGTTAAAGCCGGAATGATTTTATTCTTATTTGAATATGAGAAGAGACAACTTCACGGTGTGTTTAAGGCTTCCTGTGATGGGGCTATAAATATTGTGCCTAATGCCTTTGCAGCAGTGGGGAAGCAATACCCTGCTCAGGTAAAAATCCACTCGCACCATTTTCTGAGTTTCTGTTCACATCAGTATTCAGCAAAGCCTTCTTTTGATTCTGAGTGTATTTTTCTTGCATTGATTAATTTTATGGTCACACTTTCACAACAATTTGCTGTAGGTAAAGTTCGATATTATTTGGTCCTGTAAGCCAATCCCAGAAAAATTATTCCGTGATGCAATCAGAGAAAATTACTTTTCAGCTAACAAGTTTAACTTTGGGCTATCTGAAAATCAGGTCTGCTCTTGGACATGATTATTTTATCAACAAAATGAGAACGCTTTGCTTAATTTTACATTCATCTGTTGTGTAGGTCTATAAGCTTCTATATTTGTTCAGCAAAAGAAAGTTAGAACCTGAGGCTCCTGGGAGACCGTTGTCCAGAACAGAAGACTTAAAGTCAGAGTGGTACTCTTTTGACAAAGTTGGAAGATTTAATGATCATGGAATACGTGTTGAAAGAGTTCAAAATGAGGAAGGTGTGGGTGGTAACATATCACCCAAGATAATGCATAAATGCCAAGGAGATTCTTTGCAGTACAATAGAGAAGTTGAATATACCGGATTAAATGCATGTGATATTAACCTAGGAAGTGCTGCTAAATTTGCAGTGGATACTACAGGTGGGTATGTTAGTGACTATTTGGGACAAAAAGATGAAAGTAGGTTTAGTGCATATGAGAATGAGGACTGTCTGGATATCTGTATTAGGCCAAACATCATAGGTGGATACTCCAAAAGTCCATCTGATAAAATTAGAATGCATGGTGAGGGAAGGTTATCTATTAGTGATAGGTTCATGAGTAAATCCCTACCAGAGACTGATCAGAGGATGTTATTTTCAAGTGATGTTCCTGGTTTGTATAATTCCAATGTTAACCCATCAAGCTTTTACAGCCAGCCTACTTTGGAGCATAATTCTTTGGTTCAAAATCAGTTTAGGTCAACATCTACTATGATTCACCCAATCCAGGCACAGTTCTTAAACAATGCAAGTGCAAGACAAGATGGTAATACTAAGAATACCTCCCTTCTATATGATCCGGATGTTCCTGGTTTAAATTTTAACCAGACATCATCTGTCAGAATTAATGAGGGTTCTCAGCCAATATTGGAAAGCTATTCTCCTTCAAGCAACTTTGGAAGGAATTCCTTGACTAGTCAACCATGCCTCAAATTCAATCATGCAGAACAGAATGACATGAGCAGGTGGAATGCTGTTGGTGGTGACTTTCGAAATTCGGTTTTGTATAGTAGCAACAGGGATTGCATGCCTCTCAACAGAATTCAAAACTCTGACCAGTTGGGAGCAGAATCTGTCATTTATGAGGCTTGCGACATTCCTTCCTTGAAGTCTTTATCAGCCCCTATCCATCCTCCAGATATTGGAAAGAGTAGAAGTCTACATGAGCCCTTTTCTTCCTTGTTCCATAATAACCAATCATGGCTTAACAACAATTTTCATTCCACAGCTGTGCAAGAAAACCTGAGTAATGAGATAACACTACAGAAGAAAAATGAAACATTTACTCCTGATGTTTCATGGGCAAATGAGGGTCATTCCAAGGATGGTGATCAATTAATCCCTGAATATGACATTGGATATTATAGTGGTTTTCAAAATGATAATTCTGGTTATCCAAAGAAAAAAAGTAGTGTTTTTTCTCGTTTATCTTTCATGCAGGATATTAAAAAACAAGAAAAAGGAAATCATGCAAGGAATGAAGAATATGATTTCCATACTTCAGTTAATGATGTGATGGAAAGGGTTCGGCAGAATCACATCAAGTGGATCAACAAAAGAAAGCCAAAGCCTAAGCACAACAAAGCTGAAAGTTTGAGGGATAAAACTCAAATCAGTGGCTCGAGGAAGGAGGGTGATTGCTTTGAAGATGCCTTGACCGATAAAATTGTGGATTTGAGTACTACAACTGGAGGCAATACTAATAAAACTGCTGAAGACAAATGTTTTGTGGATTTCAAGCGTCGTAGTAAAGTGAGGAAACTTGGTGATGAAAGTGAGACCAAAATCTCCAAACAGAGTGAAAAGAGTGAGAATTTGGTGCTTGTGCAACAAAAGAGAAGAAAGTTGGTCCGCCCAAATTTCAGCAAGAGTATAACATCTGATGACAAGGGCATTGACCTTGGTGCTTCTAAAAATTTCCATGTACCATCATCACTTGGAGGTTATAATGTTAAGGAAAGCTGCTGCACTAAGGTTCAAACTGAGGATATCATTAAAGCAGATGCTGAAATACGAAACATTATCAGTCCAACACATTTTGATGATAAGAATAGTAGTCAATCCAGGGAATATGCCTGCAGTGAAGGAGGAGAAAGAGCAACTGATAATGCTCTTGCTGCATTTGACGATAAATCAGAATGTCTGGATAGCATTAAAGCAGATGCTGAAGTACCAAACATTATTTGTCGAACACATTCTGAGGATAAGAATGGTCATGCCAGGGGATATTTCTGTGGCAAAGGAGGAGAAAAAGCAACTGATGGTGCTCTTACTGCATTTAATGATGAATCAAAATGTTTGGAGAACATAAACCCGATTGTTTCTTCTTGCAAAGACAAGAATTATCATCTCAATAAAGGTTTATATACGATGGATAGTATAAAATCAGTACCTCTGAACATAGAGTCATCACGTTCAATTTGTCAAGAGCATCATGTACATAATAAGATCATTCGTGCTGGCAGAGGTATTAATGCCGATGAAGAAATGCCAAAAGATTGTGGCTCCTCCTTTACCATTGAAGCTAAAGAAGGATCTGAATATCTTCAGAACTCTGGTACTGAAAAGGCTCCAATCGAAACTTGTCCTATGATCGAAAGTTCACATGTGATGGATAGTATAAAATCTGTATCTGCAGGTACAGACGCATTGCATTCAATTTGTCAAAAGCAGCACCTTACAGGCAAGATCATATTCACAGGCAGAGGAAGTAATACTAAAGAAGAAATGTCAAAAGATAGTGGCTCCTCCCTTGCTGTTGTTAAAGATGGAGTTGACTGTCTACAGAACTCTAATGATGACAATGCTTCAATTGCCACTTCTTATTTCAAGGAAGGTTTATGTATGGCTGATAATAAAAAGTCCGTATTCCCAGATTCAGAATCATTGCGTTCGATTTGTCAAGAATGTGATGTTGACAAGGCATGTGCTGGCAGCACTATTATTAAGACTGAAGGATTGTCAAAAGATGGTACACCCCCCTTTACCACTGGAGTTAAAGATGGATCTTACGGTTCACAGAAGTCTGGCAATGACAATGCTCCAGTCACTACTTGAACAAAAGAAGGCTTCAGCCTGATTCTCAAACAGATCGAAACCTCATTCCTAAGAGGTGTGGCTCCCTCTCATACGTGTTTCAATTTTGGGATGATTGCCGGTCATTGTTTTTAACTTTTTTGCAAATCATGCTTACCGATATTGCTGATCTTTTTGCAAATCATGGTTTGAACTTTTGCAAACCATAGATCTAAGTTTTTCCTGCTTTTGTAGAATTGGCTTTGTTAGCTGACAGTGCTGGGCTGGGTTAGTTTCTTTGGTTTTTTTTTGTTTTTGTTTTGTTTTTGTTTTTATTTCTTATTTTTCAGTCAACACGATGGCGCACAGTTAGGAAGTTCAGTAACATCTAAAGGATGTTCTGTGAAAGGCGGTAGACCTTATTTTGGGAAGGCTGCTTTTTTGTAGGACAAAAGTTGAAGGCAGTTCAATTGTTGAAAATATATAAATATGTTGGTAGAAAGTTCAAATGTTGAAACGATCGCAGTCTCTCGATTTTCCTTTCAAGCCCGAAGTCTTGAATACGATAAATACAACTTAAATTAAAAGGTATAATTTAAGTCTTGAATTCAATGAAACTTTTTTTTTTTTAATTTATTTTTTTGTAATTTTATAGAGAAACTAATTGAAATAAGTTTTAAAAAAGTATAAAAAGGTTATAAAATTATTTATTATTATAAATCTAAACTCTTTTGTAAGTGTAAATACTTGATATAATGAGTTAATGTTGGAATATCTTCAGAAATTGCTTTAATCATAGTCTTATAGTTATGAGTTTGGATAGTCTTATAGTTATGAGTTTGGATGAGAAATTTAAATAAATTAATTATAGTTATGAGTTTGGATGAGAAATTTAAATAAATTAATTATAATTATGAATTTGGATGAGAAATTTAAATTAATTAATTAATTTGTTTGAAGAATTTATATTTTTTAAGTTGAGATATCTTATTTGAATGAAAAATTTATAAAAAATTTGAAATTGATGTATTTGTGAAAATTTTTAAAATAAAAAATTTTAAATTCTTAAAAAAAAAGAAGTAAGAATTCAAAAATTTTCATATATTTTTTTTTGTTTCACTTATATATTTTATATAATCTTTTGTCTTTTCATGTTTTTAATTGTTAAATATTTAAATATATTTTTAAAATTATTAAATATTATCTAATATTAATTTTTAAATTATTAAATATTTATAATTTAAATATCAAGAATTTATAATTCTTAAATTTATAAAATTCTTTATTCAAACACATGATTTAAGGGTGATGTTTGTAGTCAAAGATGAGTTAAGAGTACCGAGTTTAGTGTAAACTTAAATTCTAAGAGGTTAGTTATTATAGAATAATTTTTGAATAATGTCTGTGTTGAAATGTAACAATGAGCATTTATACTTAATATGTTGACCTTTATGGCATTGGTGATAGGGATGACAAATATACCCGTACTTGCAGGTAATATCCGAACCCGTCCTGACTTTGACGGGAATACCCGGTTTGAAATCGGGTATGGGTACAGGTACGGGTAAAACTCGATATATTAAATCGGTTATGAGTACGGGTATGTACTTACCCGTCCCGACTCGTACCCGTTCTCATTTTTAATTTAATACTCACTTTTAATTTAATTATATTAAAAAATTTTAATATTTTTTATGCGTGATTATTTATTATAATATGAGATAAAAAATAACTTAATTATAATTATAATTAAATAAAAAATAATTTAAAAATATTATTTTTTTATAAAAAAAATTTGACGGGTATGAGTATGGATACGGGTATACTCGATACCCGACGGGGATGGAGATGATGATGAAAATCTATACCCGATGGGTATAGAAACGAGGACGAGAATGAGTTTAACTCGCGAAGACGGGAACAGATATCATGAAATCCGTACTCGACCCGTCCCGTTGCCATCCCCGTTGCCATCCCTCGTTGGTCATTCATCATATCATAATGCTATATTGCTGGTGAATATGAAAAGCGAGGAAGTTGATGACAAAGGAATGAAATTGAGAGCTGATATGGCAAACCCTTCACCCCTCCCCAGCCTCTCTTAATACTTTCTTGATTCGTGCCATCGGCTGCGCTTATATGCGGCCATCGCCCTTCGTAAATCAATATATAATTTATTATTTAATATTTTTTTTATAAAATATAAAAGCTCCGTAACAAATAAAATAAATTAATTTAATATGTGTTATGTTATATTGTATAATTATATTTATTGGATAGAAAACATATCAAATAATATAATTTATTTTTATTTCTTTTTGAAAACATAGTAATAATATAATATTAGCATGTATATTATATAAAAAAAATTATACAATAAGTAAGCTGAATTTTATGATATTAAAATTGATAATACAACATTATTAATGAGTTAAAAAAATTAAAATATAATTAAAAAAAGACAAAATGATTGTATGTTTTATTTATTGTAGAAAAACTTATTAAATAATAATTATATGTTCTTTCAATTTGTGTTTTTACTATATATTTTATCTAATAAATATAAATTTTATTATTTAATATGTTTTTACTATATGCATATATTTATTGTGTAAAATATATTAAATAATAGATTATACAATTAATTTAATTAAAGAGTATTATTTTTATTAAATAAATTTATTATTTATTAATTTTAAACTAGATTGACATTAAATAAGGAGTTTAAAACATAATTAACTTGAGTAATAATATTATATATAATATGTTGTTCAAATTATAATTAAAAAAATAAAGTAATCTAAATGGTGAGTTTTATAGTTAAGACCATGAGTTCTAATTGTTATAAAGTTATTTTTAATCATTTTTAAATAAATTTTATATTTTCTCATCATGTCAATATAACGTGATTGGTTTGCATTGTATCATTACTATAATATTATTTTATTAATTCATGTGAGTTGTCAATTCATCACTAAAGCAATAATTCATGTAAATTAAAATTGTATAATTTTAAAAAATGAGGAAAATAAAATTGTGCAATTAAAAACGAGACCTAAATTACTTATTAATATTTAAAAGAAACTAAAATTACAATTTAGTCTTTCTTTTTATATTACATAAGAGTAAATTAAAATAAATAAATGGAAGGACCAAGCCGTCCTCAACCATCCCCAAACGGCGCTCCGTGCCGCCGTTTTGTTCTGCTTAAATCCCGCCTCTGTATTATATTCCTTCATGTAAGGCTCCTTGTTCGAGCTTTCAACACAGACATTTTAACCTTAGTTTACATCAGCATAAAGGTTAACATATAAAATTGTTACGTTTCAACACATACATTTTTGAAAAATTATTGTATAAGTAAATTCTAAACCCTTAGAATTTAAGTTTACATTTAACTCGGCCCTGCAAAATTAATTTATAAATTCCAATTTTTATAAACTCTCAACTCATCTCTTTAGCATATGAATGTGAGACTAACCACCACCCTTTAGACTATAATTAAAGCAATTTCTAAAGATACAACTACTACAAGCTAAAAGTGACCGTAATTAATTTACAACCATTTTCGATTTTTTTTTAAACTTATTTCAATAAGTTTCTCAATAAAATTAATTTTTTTTTATTGAATTAAACCCTTAATTTAGGTTCTACTGGAAATGACGTTTCTTACAACCTTGTCAACATTACATTCTTGACAAATCAAACGCAATGATTCTGAATCTGGAGATACTGATTTTTTATTATCAGCCATACATAAACCTTCCTTGAAATAAGAAGTTGCAATTGAAGCATTGTCATCATTAAAGTTTTGTAAACAGTCAAAACCATTTTTAACTCCACCAAAGAATAAACAATCTGGTTTATGTTCTCCAAACATTTTGATTCATCATTAAATGCAGTAAGAGCACCATCAGTTGCTTTTTCTCCTCCTTTGCCACAGAAATATTCCCTGACATGACTATTCTCATCCTCAGAATGTGTTCGACAAATAATGTTTTGTACTTCAGCATCTGCTTTAATGCTATCCAGACATTCTGATTTATTGTCAAATGCAGCAAGAGCATTATCAGTTGCTCTTTCTCCTCCTTCACTGCAGGCATATTCCCGGGATTGACTACTATGCGTATCATCAGAATGTGTTTGACCGATAATGTTTCGTATTTCAGCATCTGCTTCAATGATATCCTCAGTTTGAACCGAAGTGCAGCAGCTTTCCTTAACATTATAACCTCCAAGTGATGATGATACATGGAAATTTTTAGAAGCACCAAGGTCAATGCCCTTGTCATCAGAAGTTATACTCTTTCTGAAATTTGGGCGGACCAACTTTCTTCTCTTTTGTTGCACAAGCACCAAATTCTCACTCTTTTCACTCTGTTTGGAGATTTTGGTCTCACTTTTATCACCAAGTTTCCTCACTTTACTACGACGCTTGAAATCCACAAAACATTTGTCTTCAGCAGTTTTATTAGTATTGCCTCCAGTTGTAGTACTCAAATCCACAATTTTATCGGTCAAGGCATCTTCAAAGCAATCACCCTCCTTCCTCGAGCCACTGATTTGAGTTTTATCCCTCAAACTTTCAGCTTTGTTGTGCTTAGGCTTTGGCTTTCTTTTGTTGATCCACTTGATGTGATTCTGCCGAACCCTTTCCATCACATCATTAACTGAAGTATGGAAATCATATTCTTCATTCCTTGCATGGTTTCCTTTTTCTTGTTTTTTAATATCCTGCATGAAAGATAAACGAGAAAAAAACACTACTTTTTTTCTTTGGATAACCAGAATTATTTTTTTGAAAACCACTATAATATCCAATGTCATATTCAGGGATTAATTGATCACCATCCTTGGAATGACCCTCATTTGCCCATGAAATATCAGGAGTAAATGTTTCATTTTTCTTCTGTAGTGTTATCTCATTACTCAGGTTTTCTTGCACAGCTGTGGAATGAAAATTGTTGTTAAGCCGTGATTGGTTATTATGGAACAAGGAAGAAAAGGGCTCTTGTAGACTGCTACTCTTTCCAATATCTGGAGGATGGATAGGGGTTGATAAAGACTTCAAGGAAGGAATGTCGCAAGCCTCATAAATGTCAGATTCTGCTCCCAACTGGTCAGAGTTTTGAATTCTGTTGAGAGGCATGCAATCCCTGTTGCTACTATACAAAACCGAATTTCGAAAGTCACCACCATCAGCATTCCACCTGCTCGTCTTTCTGTTCTGCATGATTGAATTTGAGGCATGGTTGACTAGTCCAGGAATTCCTTCCAAAGTTGCATGAAGGAGAATAGCTTTCCAATGTTGGCTTAGAACCCTCATTAATTCTGACAGATGATGTCTGGTTAAAATTTAAACCAGGAACATCCGGATCATATAGAAGGGAGGTATTCTTAGAATTACCATCTTGTCTTGCACATGCATTGTTTAAGAACTGTGCCTGGATTGGGTGAATCATAGTAGATGTTGACCTAAACTGATTTTGAACCAAAGAATTATGCTCCAAAGTAGGCTGGCTGTAAAAGCTTGATGGGTTGACATTAGAATTATACAAACCAGGAACATCACTTGAAAATAACATCCTCTGATCAGTCTCTGGTAGGGATTTACTCATGAACCTAACACTAATAGATAACCTTCCCTCACCATGCATTCTAATTTTATCAGATGGACTTTTGGAGTATCCACCTATGATGTTTGGCCTAATACAGATATCCAGACAGTCCTCATTCTCATATGCACTAAACCTACTTTCATCTTTTAGTCCCAAATAGTCACTAACATACCCACCTGTAGTATCCACTGCAAATTTAGCAGCACTTCCTAGCTTAATATCCCATGCATTGAATCCGGTATATTCAACTTCTCCATTGTACCGCAAAGAATCTCCTTGGCATTTATGCATTATGTTGGGTGGTATGTTACCACCCACACACCTTGCTCATTTTGAACTCTTTCAACATGCATTCCATGATCAACAAATCTTCCAACTTTGTCAAAAGAGTACCACTCTGATTTCAGGTCTTCTGCTCTGGACAACGGTCTCCCAGTAGCCTCAGGTTCTAGCTTTCTCTTGCTGAACAAATATAGAAGCTTATAGACCTGATTTTCAAATAGCCCAAAGTTAAACTTGTTAGCTGAAAAGTAATTTTCTTTGATTGCTTCACGGAATAATTTTTCTGGGATTGGCTTACAGGACCAAATAGGATCGAACTTAACCTACAGCAAATCGTTGTGGAGTAAAAATACGCGTACTTGGTAAAGCCCCAACAATAACAATCTGCAAAGCCAACTGGCAAAAAGACAAAGCATATGTAACATTGTCAATTCATTATCTTGTTTGATTTGATAATTGTTACTGAGAGGTCTAGAACAAAATTACCCTGAAGGCACACATGGATGGCTAGATGTTGGACTAAAGATAAGTGTAGTTGACTCAAGAAAGGTATAAAGAAAAATTTTCACAAAAGAAGCTCATAATTCAAGTTTTCAAGAACTCTAGAGAGAAGCTAGAGAGAGAATTTCCTCTTCCTTCTCCTTTCTTTCTTCTTAATTTCACTAAGAACCTTCATTTCCTACCATTTTCTCAGTCGACTCTAGTTCAAGGATGTGAAGATCCAAGTTTTCGAGGTTGGAGCTCAAGTGGTCCAAGTATAGAGTCACCCTTTTTCTTCTCTTCTTTGCGGATTTTCTCTGAGAGGTAAGGAATGCTTGTGTTTTTTGTGAATCTAGGCTAGATTGTCCTGTATGATTCATCTTGCTATTGTTGAGAAAGATGAGATGATGATTTTTATTATATTGGTAGTTTAAAGTTGTGGGTTGTGGTTCAAAAGGTGTTCATTGAGGTTAACGATTGAGTATGGTTTTAAAGCGGTTGCGTGTTGTTTTGGATGATGAAATGGTGTTGTATTTGATGTATAATTGTTGTATGTTGCATTGCATGTTGATGGATTGCTGATTTTTAGGTGAATTGGGCTGAAATCATGTTTTACATAAGTACATAACTTATATGGCGTCGAGCATCCAATGAGTAGCGTTGGGTACAAGTTGTATGATGAAAAGCTGGTTGTTAAAGTTGTTTTATAATTGATGAATGATGAATAAGTTGTGTAAGATAATATATTTGTTGATATGTGGTAAGTTGAATATGTTGCAAAGTTATAAGTTATTTTAGTTGCTTAAGTTGATTTTTAATGTTTAATTAAAGTTGTTAAGTTGATAAGCTATAAATATGTGGTTTAGATACATGTCTTAGTTATGATACATAAAAACTAGAGGATAGTTAAAGATGTTGTACCAACCACACCATGTCGGTAATATCGGACATATGACATTATATCGACCTTGGTCATCGAGATTCACCTCGGCCTTAAACTGCTCAATCACATCGGCCAAAAGATCAAGTCATTTCTCACCTGACAAGATAAAAAGATAAATGCTCAATCTCATCATATCCTAACCTACGAGATATTCGCGTAAGGGAAAAAAATCCTAATCATCATCAAGGTACGTGCATTATATATATGAGACATTCACACCTACAAAAACTAACTTAAGCATCAAAGTCTCTTTTGCAGGTACCACCCCCACCTTGGAGTATCCGATTGGCAGGAGCAAAAGAGACTCGTCTCGCCGAGGAGGTTGTCATCGGACAACTTTAGGTGAGAACATATGTTTTTGAACTAATATCCCATTATGAGATATACATTGTAGTGCTCTAAGAGCCCAATCGAAATCCTTCAACAGGTAAGCTAGCCTTTGATTGGGTAATTTTTTTTTAATTGTCTCCTCTAGGCTCTATGCGGTATCTATGTATGGGCAAGATCGAAACACATGTCAATAAAGCGACCAAATTGAGTAAAATATCAGATCAAGAACTTAGCCTCTAACCTAGTATTAGAAGGTAGTCACTAGGCTAATCTCATAGGTGACTTAGTGTTATAGGCTAATGTTGTGGTAGGTCCATACCTAAATTGTTCTACCTTGGCATAATATCATACTTCCTTGTTTAAGTGATGAAACTTGAGAAATCAATGTAGCTTATGCTAACTGTTATTTCTAATCATGTGCTAGCCATTGTTTTTTTAGATTTATAGTGTCAACCATTGTTTCTAGTATTATACCAATCATTGTGATTTGGTAGGATTAACCTACTTAAATTGCTCACTCTAAGATGTATGAGATCTACTTAGTTAACATGCGTGACAACGCATTAGGTGTGATGTATATGTTGAACATGTTGTGAGATGTTAAGTTATTGTGTTGATGATGTTGTTCCGTTGTAAATTGATTTATATATTACTATGATAACATTATTTCTAAGTTGTTATATCGAACTCTTTTCACAAGCTTGCCCTGTTTTTCTTGTAGTTGAAACTGTGATGATTATACTTGGTATGGAAGCAAGATAAGATTAGTGGAATGACTTGTGCATTTGGAGGCTAGTCATACTAGAGGTGACTAGATTTTGTTGTTATTGGTTACTCATATGTTGTCGAGTTTTATATAGACGTTGACCGATATTTAGATTTATATTGCAATTGGTACTATATTTTGCATATAACATCTATATATTTAATACTAGATATTAGTTGTATTATAAACTCTAATTCTGATGTATGTTGTTTAGTCTTCTCTTTTCGGTTGATAAGGAAATTGATCCTAAAACATCTACCTTGACTACTTGAGTTAGGTTTATACCTCAGTTTATAAATATTTCTATAACACATAATTAAGAAACCATGAAGCACGACATATCTACATAATGTCTTGTCATCGTTTTTGACACAACACATTTGAGACGCACCATGCCACATGTTCAACACATATACATTATGTCACAGTTAAATTATTTTTTTTTGTTAAAATACCTCCTACAATAATTTTAATATCTTTCTCACGTGACTAAAACATGAACTAAGAAAATGAGTCGACTCTTGCTCTTAACTAAATACTTATCTAATACTATTATTATAAATAAAATTAAAAGTTAACTTATTTATGTATATTACAAGACTCAATATTTTTTTGTAACTATTTGGAGACTTCTGTTCATAAAAATTACTTCCTATTCTAAAAAGGTATATTCATTTCCTAAGAATCATTATTATATAAAAGTTGTAAAACTTATATATAATATACATTTTGTATCTTTCTTAAATTTATTTTAGTGATTACATCACTGTCAAAGTGACACATCATTATTAACATCACCTTAATATTTTAGTTGACATAATTTGAAAAATTGATAGACTAAAATTATATAATTAAAAAATAATCAAAATTGTGAATCGATAATATTAAAAAATTAAAAGTAAAATTTTAAATTTTTATTTTTATGTTAGAGGAGTAAATTAAAATAAATAAATAAAAGGAAGGGGAAAGCATGGTTGCCTAAACATAAAGTGTTTTCCCAAGGAAGGAGATGAGTTGATTTGTTTTCCATTCCAAAATGGTGGAAAGTGAAACATCACCTCCTTCATCTTCTCCTCACCACAACAAGCACCAATCCTTGGTACTAAAATCAGCAATATGCTCGAGAGTCCTCCTCCTCGCCCTAACCACCCTCTTCCGCACTCTCCTCTCTCCCTACGACACCTCCGCCTCCATAAACCCTCCCTGCCTCTCCGCCCCCAACGCCACCCTCTCCTCCCACCCCTCCCCTCTTCAAAACGCCGTCGTATGGGACTCCGTCTACTTCCTCCGCATCGCCCAATGCGGCTACGAGTACGAGCAATCCTTCGCCTTCTTACCCCTCCTCCCTCTCTCCGCCCGCTCCCTCTTCTCCTTTCTCTCCCCCTTCCTCCCCCCCACCTCCCTCTTCGTCCTCTCCGCTTACGTCATCAACAACCTCGCCTTCGTCCTCGCCGCCCTCTACTTCCACAGACTCTCCCTAGCCCTCCTCAACCACCCCCAAACGGCGCTGCGTGCCGCCGTTTTGTTCTGCTTCAACCCCGCCTCCGTGTTCTATTCCTCCATGTAAGATTCCTTCTTCCGCCTTTCGATTTTTCTCATGTCTGTTGCGTGTCTTATTGGCTTGTGTGATGGCTCTGGCAGATACACCGAGAGCTTGTACGCTCTTGCGTGCTTTGCAGGGATGTACCACTTCGTCTCTGGGGGGAACAACTTGGCCGTCCTTTTCTTCGCGCTCTCTGCTTGCGCAAGGTCCAATGGAGTGCTTAATGCTGGCTATCTCTGCTTTCAGACCATGCATCGGGCTTATCACGCTCTCTTTCGCAGAAACCGTGTCTCTGTTAGTTCCTTCACTCGTTTTTCTCTTCTACATTTATACAAGTTCTCTCGTTTAGCTAAGCTCGTGTGCATGAGTTGAGTTTAAGCTTTTTACTTATCTGGTAAACTTGATCCATTTTACTTTCTTGTTTTTGTTAGTGCTTATGGAGTAACTTATCCAAACAGGACCATAGCTGTCTTCCGTGTTTAGGAATTAGAAGTGACTGTGTCGAGCACTTGCAAAATTTAATAATGTAGTTGTTGGTGTTTGATGGTGGACGAGAGGGTGAATTCAATGAATATGGCTGCTACATCTTACTTTTTGAAGAAATGTATTTGCTTCTTTGCTATTTGGAAAGCTTTGATGGCTAATTTTATTAACAAGGAGTACGGATGTTTATGATGTTACGGCTGTAGGTTGGGGGACGTGAGAGTGATGGGGGTGTAGTATTCTGTGCTAAAAAATAAGTTTGAACTGATGATAGGTCATAGCTAAGAGGCTAGAACAGATCATTTTTATTTTTCCAATTAATTTGTTTTTCACGAAGTACCAACTCTGACACGAACACCAGGACGAGGCTAATGTCCAAAATGTAGGACACGGGGACACAACATGTATATCATATATAAGCTTTACAATTTTATATGATTATGACTCTTAGAAAATGAATCATATCTCTTAAAAGTTAAAACATCAAGTAATTCTTATGAAAATAAATCTCACAATCGATAAAGAAAATGTTAAGAGTTTTGCAATAGTCATAAATAAATTACTTTTCAATTTTAGTTATAATAGTTGTGCTAGATAAGTGTTTAGTTAAGAGTAGGAGTAGACTCATTCTCTTAGTTCATGTCCAAATCATGTGAGAAAGGTGTTAAAGTTGTTAGAGAGGTATCTGAACAAAAATAATAATTTTTAATTGTGACATGATGTCGATGTGTTAATCATGTGTCATGACGTGTCTGACAAGTGTTATATCAGAAACGTGTTGAAAATGCCGACATGACATTATGTAGATATGTTGGTGCTTCATAGTTTCTTAACTATCTACTATAGAAATATTTCTAAAGTGAGGTATAGACCTAACTCAAGTAGTCAGGGTAGATGTTCTATGATCAATTTCCTTGTCAACTGAAAAGAGAAAGATTAGTTTGAATGATGAACTGGAATGCTTGATTGATTCTTTGTCATTTTTCCAGTTGGCTTTGCAGATTGTCATTGTTGGAGCTTTACGTAGTGCATGTATTTTTGCTCCATTTATAGCTTTCCAGGCTTATGGCTATTATAACATGTGTGTTGGACGTTCGCCTGAAGAAATAAGGCCCTGGTGCAAGGCAAGAATACCGTTACTTTACAATTACATTCAAAGTCATTATTGGTATGTTCATTTTAAAGTTCCAAAAGTCTTGTTGATTTATTTTGCTAGTGCCATGCTATTGGATGAATTACTATACTATAGTCTATGCATCCTATTATGATGATGTGTTCTCCTTGTAATCTATAAAGTTGGAACTTTTTAAATAGTCAGATTTTTCATTGAAGATTGTTAATTTCTGATTGTCCAGGGGTGTAGGTTTCTTGAGATATTTTCAGCTAAAACAGTTGCCTAACTTTCTTCTTGCATCCCCAATACTGTCTCTGGCGCTATGCTCAGTTGTGTATTATGCTAAGTCAAGGCCTGAGAACTTTTTCTCACTGGGGTTTCTAACACCCATGGAAGAAAAGAGCTGTGGACTTGTGTTTTTGTCAGATGATATCTCAAGGTCCAAAGAAGCTCGCAATGTGGAGAAATCCTCCGTTAGGGTAGAAGGTATGATTCTCAAACAGATAGTTGTGTTTTTCAATTATTTTGTGTACTTGTGTTGTAAATACATTGCTTTGTGAGAAGTGGTGACAAATAATTCACTGATTGGGTCACTTGGGTATAATAATTAAATCATCCACTTTGACAGCTTGTATGTGGTGGTGCTGTTGTCTGATTCTTTCACATGTGGTTTAGCCATTTTGTTGCATGCCTGGTCTTTCCTGTTTGGTGATATATGTAGAGAGTTACATGCCATGCTCAATTCCTTCATCCATTGTTCTATGCAGCATATGATCATGTATAATCTTGTGACTTTGGATATATAATTAGGGTTTATATTTTATCATTGCAACCATAACACTACTCACTCCTGCAACAGAACACTCCAATCTTAGGAGGAGAAAGAATGTGATCAAGGGAGACGTCGCAAATGTTGCCATAGAATCCGAGCCAGCATTGTGGTCAGGATACTTGTCTGCATCTGTTCTCCCATTCGTGTTACACTTGGGATTCATGGCATGCACTACTTTTTTTGTCATGCATGTGCAGGTATAGTGTCAATTGTCTCGTTTGCTTCTGCTTCAGTTTATCATGTTAAGAGAACTAACCAGTGCCGGTTTGAACTTTGCTAATCTTCATATTTCAAGACCTGTTCCTGAATATTGCTTAAATGTCCTATACTTGGTTACCGAGGGTGTATTTGGTGAAAAATGGTGGAATGAAAATTGACATTATTTGGCATTTTGGCCACAAGAAAAATATAGATGCACCTTTCGTTTACGAGCCTCCATTTTCTGTTATCCCACTTTGCTCTTGCACATTGTTCCTTTAATCAATTTCTATAATATCCGTTTGTTTTTTGAGAACGACTGAAGGGTTTACTAATGTAAACTGTTGGTAATTGCCATTTAACAGGTGGCTACTCGTTTCTTGTCTGCCAGTCCTCCTCTTTATTGGTTTGCTTCATATATAATGGCATATCATGCAAAAGGCTTTAGATGGGGTTTCATTATATGGGCATACTCTATAGCATATATTTTTCTTGGCAGTTTGCTGTTTTCAAACTTCTATCCTTTCACTTAATGAGAAAGAAAGACAGATGGTTATCCTTGAAAGCTGTAGGGCCTTTCTATTTCATGCAAGGCACAAGGGCATAGCTACCATGAAGCGTTGCTGCTGAATTTCAGATTTCTGTTGGCTTCTTCAGTGCTTTGCCCATTTGGTGGTTTCTGTTTGTCCTTACAAGCCTGTGATTTCATAATAGTGGGGAAAATGCGCCCGTCCCTCTCGCAGCGTGTATTCAGTATCATCTAGATGAGTAAACTAATAGAAGTTCTTTTTCATTTTTGTAAATTGCAGTTTTGTTTATTAATTGAATCAATACACCACTTTATTTCCAATGAGTGGTTGTATTTATGCGACTGAGTGGTTTATCTTGGAAACATGACCATAGATGAAATACATTTTCTAATGCTTCGGAATCTCGAAACTACCCGAAAGTCAAGTGCCAGAAAGAAAGAAAGAAAGAAAGAAAAAAAAAAAAAAAGGTTCACGTGGTAAGTTTTGCGATGACATTATTCAAGTTGCCTCTAAATATTTGAATTTGATTTTCTTTAAATGATCGTATTTTAATTCTATTTCTAGGTTTATTTTAAACATGAAGTTAATTCAAAGATATTTCTTTCGTTAACTAAAACTTTTGTATTCAACTTGGCCTAATAGCATTCACAACCTATCAACCCACTTTGAAATTCTTAAATGGACTTTATATTTAGACATCACTATTTCTTAGCTTTTTTTTTAACTTAAGTTGTGAACCTCTTGAGAATGATGGGTGTATTTGGAAATCAGTTGAGTTGGTTAAAAATAAATTATACTCACAAGTTTTTGTTTTTTCTACATTGAAATGTGTATTTTTATGTTAAATGTAGTTTTAAACTGGTATTAAAAGATTACACAAGGAGGAAAGAACTCTAAATCAATGAAAATAAAATTGATGACAAGAATCAGAACATTTATGAATTAGGTGAGGAGAAAGGGAATATTGAAGTTTCATGAGGACAAACGAGTAAAATCAAATATCCACTTACCAAAATCAATTTCGTGAAAACGTAGAAGCAATCTTCATCGCGCTTCAGCCAAAATTGATTTTCGTTGATGGAATCGTGTGAAGAAGAAACATCCAAACATGCTTTTACAAAGATGAATTGCGTTTGCGGAAGGAAATACGCGCGTTGTATTAGGGCAACGCGCATCCAAACATGCACTATATCATTCCAATTTGGCAACTTCGAAAAAGTTACTAAATGGATGTTATCGATAATTTTACATCTTTACATTTTAATTTTAGTGACTGTGTAGAAGAGCTTGTAGCAAGTCACTAAGTGTGAGCCATAAAGGCTCAAGCTCAACTGCATGGAACAACTTACTAACAAGAGGATTCAGTTGGCAAGAGTTTCTATGTCAGTCAACTGTTTCAGGTCGGTCAAAGACCTTAAAGGTACATTTTCCTCTGAGCTCGAGCGTTAGGGTTGTAAAGAGGCTAGTTGTCTCGATCTTTCGGTTCCCCGGGAACCGAATTCTGAGCTTCAATATTTTTTTTTTACAACTCAGAATTCGGTTCCCGGGAAACCGAATTCTGAGTTGTTTTAAATATATTTTTTTTGCGTTTGTGGCCATTTTGTGCGAATGCTGGAAGTGGAACGGGCCGTTCCGGAAGCAGAACGGCCCGTTCTGCTTAAACACTTAGAGTGCTTTTTTTAAAATTAGAACGGGCCGTTCCAATTTTAAAAAAAGCACTCTAAGTGTTTAAGCAGAACGGGCCGTTCTGCTTCCGGAACGGCCCGTTCCACTTCCAAAACTTGCACACACTTGGCCACAAACGCAAAAAAAAAAAAAATTAAAACAACTCAGAATTCGGTTTCCCGGGAACCGAATTCTGAGTTGTAAAAAAAAAATATTGAAGCTCAGAATTCGGTTCTCCGGGAACCGAATTCTGAGCATGAACAGTGATTGGTTCTAGTTGGGTAAATAATGTTGCACAGATGTTATTTTGGTAAATTTTTTTTTAAAAAAATTTATTTACGTAAAAAATTCTAGATGATATACACTTCAATATTTTTTTAGAAAAATTCTACAACCTTTGAAAACATATTCTGAAATACATTCCAAATCTTTAAAAAATTAATTTAAATTATAAAATATTAAATTAAATAATTATTTAATAATAAAATTATTTAAAAGTATTAATATTTTAAATTTTTAGCCATTGTTTCATATAGTTTTCGGAGGATATAGCACTTCTCTATTTTTTAATATCTTTTACTTTTTGAATATATGTTTTTCATGTTTATTATTTTCATATTTATTTCATTATTTTAATAAAAATATTATCAATAATTAAAATACTTTTGTATGACAATATAAATTAGTTATCATAAGTTTAAAATATAATTTATATGTTTGAAACTATTTATTTATTATAAATTTTAATTATAATATAATATATAATAAAAATATTTATTTATTAGCCATTTAGTCATGTAAATAAACATGTAAAAGCTAAAATATTAATTAATATTATATTGAAAAATTAAAATAATATGATATTTATTATAAGATTTTTTTTTAATATGATACTTGGAAATGAGAGAATAATATTTGTATTTTTTCCCTAAATTAATATATTTTAGTAAATTTAAATGCTAATTTAAAAGGATTTTAATATTTATATAATCAACTCTTATATATAAAATATAAGAACGTTTTTTAAAAAAATTAATTTAATTTAATTTATCATAATTATGTATGAATTAGATTTTAATATTTTAGTAATGTATTTAAATATCATCTCATGTGAAAGCGTTTTTAAAGATTTTATGAGAAGGTTTTTAAGAATTTTTTTTAACTTTATTTTTAATTTATCCTAATTATTTATGGATTAAATTTTAATATTTTTAAAATAAATTATCAATAAATAAAAGTAATATTATATTATAATATAAATTATTTATTATAAATATAAAATATAATTTATATATTTAAAAATATTTATTTACTCAAATTTTTAATATAATTTATATATTCAAATATATATTTATTTATATACATAATTTATTTTAAATTTTAGTTTTATGCAATAAGCACTTAATTCATGCTAAAATGTTATTTATTTAGTATAACTTTAAATATTTTAAAACCAGCTAAGCAGTTTGTATTTAAATCAAAAGAGCAATTGGTTTGGGATGAAATCGGCAATTTAGTACTATGTTTATCGGTGCAACGCACAAATTTTTTATTCAATATATATTTTATATAATAATAAATATACTAAAAATATAAATTATTTTCATTAGTTTCATGTTTTAAAGTATATTTTATTTATATTTTAAAATTACTATTATCTTTATTTTATAAGAGTTGAAAAAGTTGTTTATATAATACTAGTTGGAAAAGAAAAAAAAAAGTGATTATTGATTTGTTAAAAATTTATAAAAGGTAGAAGAAAAAAAATAGTGAAATAGAGATAGTGAGAGAGAGTAGTTTGAATGTTTTTATAAAGATAAAATTGTAAAAAAAAAAATCATGTACACAAATCAAGCTATCATTATATATATTATAATTTATAAATTAATGTATATAATAATAGGTTTAATATTTTTTTTACTTATTATAACTAATGTATTTGTTAATAATAATATTATTTTTATGAGATTTTATTATGAGATTACACTTACGCTTCATTCTTTGACACTTCACCCTATAATAATGAAAATATCATTTTGATTTCTAACCTCATAAATTTATTGAAAAAGATGAACACCAATAATAATCTCAAAAGGAATAACTACATGAAAAAAGTAAAATATATTCAGTTAAATTAAAGGTTAATGTTTTATTCCTTAATAGATAAAATTTGAAAATTATCTTGCAACTCACAAATTAATTAAAAAGAACAAAATCATGTTTTATGTCAAAATCAAGGCTAAAGATCTCTCAAATCATGGAGAAAGGCAAATAAAGGCACTACTGATGTTACTCTACGCTGAGATTGCTTCTACAAACTCTGTTTAGTATGAAAAGATGATAGATAGCTTTATTGATCAGATAAGATGCATGTTCCATCTAGTGAAATATATTTAATGTTTGTATTATATGAGTCAATGGTTACCTTCCATCACAATTAAAGGCAAGCGAAATAAACTTAAACTTGTGAATTGGACTCAAAATATAAGAAGATTCGAAATTTAAGAAAGAAGAAACACATTTTGTGAATCATACTTATGTACAAACTTCATTCTTTTTTGTAAAAACATATTGCTTTATATTAGTTATATATCGTCTAAGTGAGACGAAAATAACATCTCTACAACCTTCATAACCATTGTTATAAGGTTAAACTTAGAGAGGTTTATTTGTAAAATAATATTTGATTTAGCCTGAAGAGGCTTGTTGAAAAAAAAAATACTTAGTCGTTAAGTCTAAAGAGACTTGTTATGAAAAGAATATTTGAGTAATTGTTCGAAGGGGCAAGTCAAATAATACTTAGGGTTGAGTTAAAAGTGACTTGTTGAAATAATACTTGTATCTTTGTTGAAAGATATTAGAACTCAATTTGATTGAGTTGAGAATTGGACGTAGTTTTAGTGATTGAGACGAACTAATATTGTATTGTCCGTACTGCGAAGCCGAGCTCCGAGCTCGGCATCACAGCACAAGATGAGGTCGGGCACATGCTACGCGACGTCAGCTCGGCATTTAAGCAGATCATAACTGATCTCGAGGGATCTCACTTCGGACGAGGTCCACTATCTAATCTTATCATATCTTATCTCAGGCCCAAGGCCCAAAGCAACCCTAAATCACACCAAGGTACGTGCATTACATATACGAGATTCATACTCATACGAACCCCAACACGCTTTACACAAATTCGAGGTCGAGAACGAACCTTAGAAACGCCCGTCCGAAGTCGAGTCTGAACTTTGGCATGATTCATTTTACTCTGATGTAGGGTCTAATACGAACCCTAGCACGCTTTACACAAATTCGAGGTCGAGTGCGAACCCTAAAACATTAATCCAAGGTCAAGTTCAAACCTCGGTATGATTAAGGTCGAGTCCGAACCTCGCCAAAACTGATAAAAATGAAGGAAGACGGGAAGAGACACCTCTATCCCCAAAACTGTTCACAGGACTTGAAAAGCCCTCAAAAAACCCCCAACTATTGGGGTGCAACTGGCAAGGAGCCGAGTTGACGAAGTTCAAAAAATCACACTCAAACTGAGTGAAGGGAAGACAAACACCTAAATCTCTAAAAAAACAATGATACATATAGAAATGGGGAGAATCGGTAGACTTCCCCATGTACACACCCTCACCGGCCTGACAAGGTTCAAGCCGGATCATCCGGAAAATAGAAGGGTCACAAACCCCGGCGGGATCCCGTTAACCTCAAGAAAGGACCGAAAAACGCTCTGGACCCCCGCCATCTCACGCTTGACCCAGTCGTAGCCAGGGATGCCTGGCTTCGGGCCCCGGGGCGGAGGCGGATCCCTCTTCTCGGCGGCGGCTCTCCCAGTAGCCACCGCCTTACCGCGCGCCTTACCCCTAACACGCGCAAAAGAGCCGACACCACTCCCACCAGCCATTAAAGAAAGAGAAGATCTGGGGAAAAGAAAAAAGAGAACTATAGAAAGGAAGTACCTGGTACTCCTCCTCAGAAATTAACCCTAGTAGTGACGGGGTTACCGAAAATGGAGACGGAAAGCGAACGGAAACGAGAAGGCAAGGAACGAGAAGGCAAAGAGGACTATTGTACTCAAGAAGCCAAAGAGTGGAAGGAAGCAGAGTGAATGAGGAGAGATGCGGGAGAGAAAGAGAAAAGGGCTTTTTCCCCAAATTTCAAAACGGCCATGCCACGTGTCAACCTAAGGGCACGCCGACAACACATTAATTGCAAGACCATCATTGCATAACCGTCATTTCCCTTAACGCGCCACTTGCACGTTTTTCGAAAAATGAACAGTTACGACACATGGCATCTCAACAGGCAGACGTACGCGAAAGGTCACTTCCCCCCAACGAGCTCGGTCTTAACTCCTCGACCTACGGTCTAGTGTACTGTCCGTACTGCGAAGCCGAGGTCCGAGCTCGGCATCACAGCACAAGATGAGGTCGGGCACGCGCTACGCGATGTCAGCTCGGTATTTAAGCAGATCATAATTGATCTCGAGGGATCTCGCTTCGGACGAGATCCACTATCTAATCTTATCATATCTTATCTTAGGCCCAAGGCCCAAAGCAACCCTAAATCACACCAAGGTACGTGCATTACATATACGAGATTCATACTCATACAAACCCTAACTTTAGCATCGGAGTCTCTTTTGCAGGTACCACCCCCATCTTGGAGCACCAACGTACCAGCGAAGGAGGCTCACCGATCTTACCTGGCGGATCAGCTCTACAGCAGATTTCTGGTAAGAACAAATATAAAAATATCTATTGTTCCATTTAACCTCTCTTCACACTCCATATAACTAGCGCTACTATTTCACTATGAAAAAGTGCAATACACACTATACAATTCCCCATTAGTGTTTATCTTTTCACCACAACAATTGTAACTCATTAGTCACACCTATTATTACTTCATTACTTAAAAAAGTGAGTTTTCAATTGACACTATTCAACCTCCCTTCTAGTATCTATTTTTTCACCACAAAAAATAATTAATTGAAAAAATTAATTTTAAAAATATGATTTATGTGAAAAGAAAAATAGAAAACAAAAAAAAATCAAGGCGATTGAAAATATCTAAGTCTTTTAGTCATGTATAATTCTTCTATAAACAAATAAAGTATTTCAATATCAATGATATTACTAGTACATAATGTAAAATGTTCAATTTAGTATTAAAAAATTTTCTTTTCTTCATTTCTCCCGCAAAATCATGTATTTTTCTTTAACAAATAATCATAATTATTGTTCAACACAATCATAAATAATAATAATAATAATAATAATAATAATAATAATAATAATAATAATAATAATAATAATAATAATAATAAGAAGAAGTTATTAAATTCTCATTCTTCATTTGACAATCTTATATGACACTAACATGAAACACCTAAAACTCAATTTCACAATATAAGTATATTGTTTATCAAATTTTCAATTATTCCTCTCATATAAAAGGTACTATTAAGTTTCAAAATATGTTTGAGAAAATAATGCGAGTAATGAAAATGAAAGAAAAAAAAAATATCTTCCATCTTCTTAAGGACGAATGCAATGTAGAATGAGAATTGGACATAAAGAAATTTTTTTAAAATATTTATTAATAACATAATTTACATAGAGTCGATATGAATAATATATTGAATCTTTAGAATAATAAAATAGTCTTTATGGTAAATATTTGAGAAAGGATAAAAATAAGAAGAGAATACTCAAATATTATTTCAAGTATGCACAACTTTTTAAGTTATTGTTAATTTTTTTTATTAATCCATCTTTTATAAAGAACACAAAAAAAAAATCGATACTAAAAACAAAAAATAAAAGGCAAAATAACTAACAAGATATATAACAAAGTGAAAAAGGAGAACACAGAGTGAAATATTATACACTAATAAATCCATAACAAAGGCTTATAATATCTATAAAAAAAAATTAAATAAAAAAAATTTAAAAAACATAATTCACATTAAAAATACGATATCTTTAATTAATAAATAGAAAATATTTAAAAGGTAGAAGAATTTTAAAGCTCGGAATGTTTAATTTTGAGTGAAAAATTTTGAAGTTGACTATTGTATTTTTAATTATATATATTAATTAAAGATAGTTGGTGTGAATAGCAAATACATAGATGTAAAATATGAAGGGTCCCATTCCCTTTTTTCTTGAAGTGAAGTGGAAGGGTCCTACTATAAATACAATTCCTCACTTCAAGTGCCATCCAAGTAAACTTGATTTTATGGTTTTTCGCCTTTCAAGTTTCAACTGTCTGTCCACAGCTAAGCATGAAGAAGAGGAATTGAAGAGACAGAGACAACACACAAAGTAAACGTGATTTCACCAAAATGTTGCGATCACGCCGCCGCTCTCCTTACGGCGCCTACTTCTGCGCCGTCATCTCCGCCGTCCTCCTCCTCCTCTCCGTCTCCCTCCTCTACTCCCGCCTCAGAGAAAAGGGCTTTTT